CAGGTGGCGAAACCACTGAGCTAAATCCCTGGCCCTTGAATGAATTTTTAATCACTTGAATTTCTATCTGGAGCACTTTTTAATGTGCTCTAATTCTTTTCCATGCTTGTCAATCATGGTTTGCATTGTTTTATTTAGTTCTGCCAGCTTTTTATTAGTGTTTTCTGTAGATTCACTGATTGTTTTATTTGGCCCAATATCTGTTTACGTGTATCTTCTCTACTTATCAAATGCCTTATTGATCCATTTTGTTATCTCCCCTAATATCATTTCAAATAATTCAGGTGTATGGGTTTTGGTTTCCTGCTCTTTAATGCCCCATAGATCAGCTTTGGGGAAGCTGAAGTTTTTTGAGGCATGTTGTTGTCTGTTTTCTCATGTTTCTGCATGTATGTGTGTGTGTGTGTGTGTGTGTGTGTGTGTGCGCGCGCGCGCGCTTGTGTGTGTATGGAGGCTTGCAGGTTGATAGTAGTGGAAAGCTTTGTTTCTAGTATGGACTCTTTTTTTAGTTAATGTCTACTCTTCAGAGGTGTCCTCTAGGTGTGGCTATTGACCTTTGCCTCTGTCCCAGGATCCAATTGCCTTCATTTACTTGGGATGGGAGGTTACAGTGTATTTGACCCAGACACAGTTCTCCTAAAACTAGGGACAATATTGCTAATGAATCCAAGGAAATCCAGATATTTGCATTGCATGAAAACTGATTAATAGCAACAGTTATGTCATCTTGGATGTAGTAATAAGATCACCATAAATTACAGCATCGTGTACAAAGTGAATTTGAAAAATCCTAAGGACCAATAATGAACCACCCTTCAACACAGAAAAGAGATCTATAATTATACTATGGACATTAAGACAAACCAAGTATTGACCTACTATTGACCTTCAGTAAGTATCTTCTAAGTAGAACAAGTTTACCTCTACTAACAATAAAGCAGTATTCAACAGCAATAGCATAAAGTTAACTAGCTATTTAGAGATTCATAAAGCTTAGTAGTTACACTATTAAAGGTAGACGGGGTGGAGAATCAGAGAATGAAAAAAGCAAAATTTGAGGGCCAGGGATTTAGCTCAGTGGTTCTGCCGCCTGCCTCGCAAGTGGAAGGTCCCAAGTTCCATCCCCGGTACCTGGTGTTGGGGGGAAGTAAAATTTGAAAAGCTAATCAATGGGATATGAGAAGGAGGAGAGAAAAGTGAGATGGGGGTCCTATTGAGGAATAAAAGGAAATTAATAGTGTCAGAGAACAGTCACAAGAAAGAATGAACAAGAAAAAAGAAAAAAGATAAACAGATCAAAATATAGGAAATAAAAGAAAGATAAAACAGAAGAGGAGAAAAGGTAAAAGTGGAAAAAGAAAAGGAGAGAAAAGAAACTAAATGAAGGGGAAAAAGGAGAGAAAACTTCCAATCCTCCCAAAAAACCTTATAAAGGAAAAGTAAAATTAATAAAAAAATAGAAAAATTGAAAAAAGATTGATTGAAAGAAGTAAATTACTATGTTTTTCAATGAGTAGTTTGTTTCCCAAGATCTTCAGTGTTAGAATCCAGCCAGTAATGATTTTCTTCACCCAGCTTTAGGGACTATGGGTTTTTGAGGTGCCATCCTTGCACCAGGGGCCCCTCTGTCTATTCTCCCCAGACTGTGGTTATCATCCAAAACATGGTGTGTCCTTTCTCCCATTGGTAGATGGAAAACGTAATCAGCCCTCTGATCTCAGCTGGATTTAGACCTCAAGGTTGGGTTTCCAGTGGACAGTTGGACTTAAATGTCAATAGTTGTGGGGTCTGGTTGTTCCCTTTTTGCCCTGGGCATTGGCCTCATCCAGGAGTAGGTTTGTTGGTTAGTTCTTGCCTCTGTTGCCCCATGCCAAAGGGAAGTAAAATGCAGAGCTGGAGTGAAAGTTGTGTATTGTTGTACTCTTGTTTGTGTGTGTGTTTAAGGAGTGTACCATGCGTAGGCTGTGGACCTTCTTACTTGTGCCAGGCAACTTAATCTATTGTCTATTTTGGTGGACCAAAATAGACATTATTTGCATTGTTTGTGTGACCTTGTAAGAACATGTTATTGGATCTATCTGAACTTTGTCATTTCTACAGTTTCCTTTTAAGTATACATTACTCTATCATTTTCAATACAACAGCTTTTCTTTGTTTTACTACCTATAGATCTCTTCTGTTATTCTCTGTTTGATTGTGCATAATTATCTTTCTTGACTATATCATATTTTTCTCAGCTATATTTTAACATTGTTAAAGGTAGAGGCCATGACATAGATCTCTTCAAATTCTTAATGTTGGAAATTTGGAGATTTACATTAATAATGTCATACCATTTAATAATTTTCATAGGGGAAATAAAATATCTACTTTGAACCTGTTTCTGGACTTTAAGTTTCTACATGTCAATCAGTCATTTAAAGGAAAACTAAAGGCACAATCACATAGGAATGGATATATTAGAATGAAATACAATTCCAATCAACTAATCAGATGCAGATATATTGTCCACATATCTACATTTCTGTGAAGATAGTTCTCAAGTGGTACAATGACATGATCATAAAGAACTCACATTATAAGTTATCACAAATGAAATCATCACTACCTCTTAATAGTTTCTGATTTCTATTGAGTTCATTGGTAGCCATGTAACGGAGTTCTAGATTCCTGATAATAGGCTCCAAATTAATAAGATGATTCTTTCTATAAATCAGTGAGTGAAAGATTTAGAATTCTATAAGACTGACATCTCAGAATTATTATTTATTAAAGTCCTTTGATTTGGAACTCAAGGTAACTTTAAATCGTAGTAATCCCTATTTCATTCAGATATACAAAGCAAGGATCCCAACACTCCAGAGAACAAGCCATGGCTTTCATGGCCATTCCCCATATTATAACTCCTCCTCCTTTCCTTTCACCTCCTCCTCTGCTTCTTACTTTTTTTTTTTCAGTACCAGGGATTGAACTCGGGACTTTGTGCCTGCAAGGCAGGTGATGGAACCGTGAGCTAAATCCCTGGCTTTCTTCTTCTTACTTTTATCCTCTTTCTCCTCCCCCTTCTCCACTTCCAATTCCTCTTCCTCCTCCCCCTTCTTTAATAAACAAACATATTTGAAAACTGCCACTAAATTGGTACAGTACAATATGGATTCTGGTATTTCATTCCACAAGATAATTTATGTAATTTGTAACAAAGGACTCCTTGAATGTTTGCCTCTTTGGAATATAAAATGGTGATGAAAGAAGCCCATCCCTCTGTATCCCAAATTAGAAAACAAAAGGGTCATCATTGTCAATTATCTTGTACATAAAAGGATCTGGCAGGCTGCACAACAGTTCACCCTAGTGGGACCCTGGGGAATTAGAAAACACTTCCATTTTCTCAAGACTCTTAATAGGAAAAAAACAAAAAACAAAGCAAAACAAAATTACTAAATTACACATCATTGAGGGTAGTAGCATATAGAGTTGTGCAATATATAATCCTCCCTTAGGTCAAAGTCCTTGACCATGCTCAACCCTCTTTCTGTTTCCCTTTCTAAGACTTGGGAGAGGGGAGGAGTCTAGAGTCTCTGTTTATGTCTTTGGTAAAGAGTAGTATTTTCTATGAATAATATTTTACATCCATGAGGATGGGGAGGACAAACTGGGCTTAGCAATGGACTGAATGGGGGATAACAAAAAGCTGGAGACAACAGTTAAGCAGTTAGTAAGATTAAGTTAGGAGGAATCATATAAGCTTTCATTTTTAAGTTTGCTTGCAGACAATAGGCTGCTCAAGTTCAAGATAGGAGAGGTTTAGTTTGTCAACAAATGGTTAAAAATGGTCTAGAGATTTTAGTTGATTATACATTTAAAATGGCCCAAGAGTATGACAAATTTTCTAAAAAAAAAGCTAGCACAGACTTGGGCTTAGACAAGAGGAACTGGAGATGCAGAGAAAGTACTGTTTTTTTTCTGGATGCAAAAGCAGGAAAGGAGGAATTAAAAAATAGCAATGAAAGGTAGATAAGATATTAGAAAAAAAATTAAAGATGGAAAGAGATTTGAATATGTTTATAGGCTAAGGGGTAGAATATATTAGGGAAAAGAGGAAAAGAACGGGGAAAAGAGGAAAAGATTGAAGAAAAGATAATTATATAAGAGTTTGAAGAAGCCTGCCGGAGTTGGTTTTGAACTGGAATTACTTGGAAAGTCTAGATGGAAAGCTGAAAGCGCCTGCAGATGTTCATAGATCTGGGAAAGAATTCAGGGACTTGAGAAGGACATAGGCTGATATTTTCAGTTTGTTTGGTGAGGTAATACTCCAGTGGGATAGGCTCTGCTGTTGTTTCAGAGGCAGAGTGTGGAAGGAGAGAGCAAAGGGAAACTGGAAGGGAAGTGGAAAGAATGCAGTTAGAATGGGATTGTTGGTCTCTGAGGAGGGATGCAGAAAGGGTTGGCAGGTTTCTTCTCAGTCTTTGTAAGACCAACAGCGTCAACAACCTCAGAAACTGTTGGAGCCAGTGATAGCTTTTCTCACCTGCTCTGGATTGTGAGGACAATTGTTCCAGGCCTGTGGTGGAGTCACATGCTAGCTGGGTGTAGGAACACATACTTGCAATCCCAGCACTCTGAGAGGTTGAGGCAGGAGGATCCAAGTGCAAGCCCAGCCTGGGAAATTTGGCAACTTAGTGAGACCCTGTCTTAAAATAAAAATTAAAGGGCGGGGGGGCTGGGATATAGTTTAGTGCAAAGGCCTTGGGTTCAATTCCTAGTACTGGGGGAAAAAGTTCACATGTTTAAAACACACACACACACACACACACACACACACACACGCACACCTGAAATGGAATCCTTAAATTTATTCCAGGAAAAAAGGTCTTGGGAGGCAAGAATTTGAAAAACATATCTTGCAATGGATAAATCTTGTAAGAATTAATGACTTTGGCAGAAGCTTGTAGAATTTATCCAAAGGTAATGGTTATAAGATGTTGAAATTCAGATGAGTCTCACAGATACAGTTCTTTATTAGATAATGGTTAAAATTAAAGAAAATACATTTAAAAACAAAACAGTAAAAACCATACACTTTTGAGTGACATGGGTGAAGAAATCACTTGTCGGGCCGGGGATGTTGCTCAGGGACACGGTACCTGCCTGGTAAGCGCAAGGTCCTGAGTTCGATCCTCTGTACCAAAAAGAAAAAAAGAAAAAAAAGAAATCACTTATTCCACAAACACACCCAGAGTGCCACTGAGGAAGGAGCAATAAACACAAGAAATAAGCTTCACTCTGTCCTCAAAATCTTACGGAGGAAAAGGTTTAGGAAAACCAGGACCTGTAACAGGATGAGATAAGCCACGTGAGTGAAGAAGGACACAAAATCCAGTACGCTGATGTAAAAAGTCAAGTCCTCACATTCTGAGAGGAGGAGCATGATTTCTTCAAGAAAATGGTTGAGAGCCAAAGAACCAGTCAAGGAACCTCTTAAGGAATCCACGTCCCCGCTGTCACCCGCCCTTGGCTCAGGCTCCACTCTGGGTGTGCGTGCGCCGGTGCGCGCGCACGCCGGGTCGCTGCCTCCCAGGGCCGGGACAGTCACCGCGAGGGGGCGTGCGTCTGACCTACCTACGGAAGTCCCGCCTCACGTTTCCGTCGGTGGAGGATGGGGAGGGACTGGAGGCTGCTTCCGGTCCTGGAGTTTTAGTGGTTCGGGCACGTGTGTCAGTCTCGGGGGTTCCTGGATTACCCTTCCTCTTGGTGAACTTGGGTTGGAACTTCCTTCAGGCCTAAGGATGAAGGCGGTAAGTGTCCTCCGGAGACCAGTTCCGGCGCCTTAAGGACTGTTCTAGTTAACGGAGTCCCAGCCTGGTTTACCTTTTCACACTTGCCCAGGGGGAGGTGGCCTGGCTTGGGGTCCTTCCAGGATCTGTGCAAGGTCAGCCTTCAGGTCCTTGCCGATTTCTTAGTCTTCCACTGTGCGCCCCTACAGCTTCAGGGGGGCGCGTTGGGACAGGCACTAAATCTTAAACCTATGGAATGTCAGACTTTGAAGGGTTATTCTAGACCGCATTTCGAACCCTTTTCTTACAGATGAGAAGCAGGTTGTACCTCTTAATAAGTGTATGATATGAGTTACTGGACCCGAGACTAGTCCGTTTGAAGGACAGAGATAGGAAAGCTAGTAATTTGCTCTGATTCTCATTGAAAATTAAGAGAGTGCTTGGATTTGAATTTCTGAATGAAGAGTCACAGGAAATTCAGTTGTGCCTTAGTTTAGGATCTTTGGCAAATGACATAATCTCTCTGTGCCTCTGCTTCTTCATCAGAAATGTGAGGATAACAGCTCTCACTAGGCTGTTGGAGGTGGTTTGTTGGAGCACTTTGTAAACGATAAAACAGTATAGAAATATTGGTCGTTACTGTTGAAGACATCCATTATTTTTCTTTAAATTACAGGTGTGAATCTATCCTTGAATAACCGTTTGCCTTAGAATCAGAGTCTTTTTACCAGGGATCGAACTTGGGACCTTGTGCTTGTGAGGCAGGCGGCGCAACCACTGAGCTAAATCCCTAGCCCCGGAGTCTTTTTAAAAGATGTTAGGTCCTTATGAGTGGCTATGGATTCTAGTTGCAAGAAAGCCCCAGGTGGAACAACTGATGCTCTAATGCCACTCTGTAGGATTACTTTCATAATTGTTTCAACTTTTTTTTTTTTTTTTTTTTGCGGTACTGGGGATTGAATGTAGGGCCTTTGTGCTGAGCTACATCTTCAACCCTTTTTTATTATTTATTTTGAGAAAGGATCTCGCTAAGTTGCTGAATTGCCCAGGCTGGCCAATTTTGAGATCCTCCTGCTTTAGCCTTCCTGAGTGCTGGGATTACCAGCACGCAGCCACCATGCTTGGTTTTAACTCTTACTGTGATCCATGGCTGTGAGGCATTAAACTAGTGGAATTGGTCTGATGAAATTTAAATCAATTCTCTTCAACCTGATTTAAAAAATAAAATAATTGAAATTTCTCACCCCTTGTTACTTTTTTGTAGAGAAGAAATAAAAAACAAGTCCCAAGCTTTCGCAAGTTGCTGAAAACTAGTAAAGTCAAACTTGAAAACAAGCTGAAAAATAAGCAATTTAAACAACAAAGCACACTAAAGAAGTACCGAAAAGAACAGAGGAAACTAAGGCAAGCTGTAAAAGATGCTGCATCTAAAAATCCCATCCCATTGGAGGACCCAAAGAAAATACGACCAGGTAATTGTGAGAGTAACCACATACCCTAGCTTCCATTGAATTTTTCTGCGTTGTTCTTCATGAAAGTAGCTTTGCTTTCTAGTAATCACTCCTGTTCTCAGATCTTAAGAGTAGGTAAAAAGAGTAGTCCTAATGTGTTATCACAATCAGTATGATGCAGTTCAGTGTAGTATTCAGAGTGAGAAATACTAGTAGCTTCTGCTTTTAGTTTGTCTAGAAAACATCTAAAGAAGTAGTACTTGGAAAAACAAGCCATGTGAATAAATGTTGGGCATTTTGCCAGGGCTTTCCCATTCACTGGGATTTAAACACTGATTTTCTCTGATGCACTCTTCACAGTGTTGCCAGTTTGCATTTCCTTTCTAAACTTTTGACTTTTCTTTTCACTTCTTTTTTTTGGTACTGGGTATTGAACTTGGGACCTTGTGCTTGCGAGGCAGGCGGCAGAACCATGGAGCTAAATCCCGGCCCTTCTTTTCACTTCTAAACTAGGAGTAAAATTGAGCCATAATTATCAGAATTATTTTGTAATACTATCCAAAAACTCCAGCTTCTCAAAACATAAAAGTAATATGAAAATTTTGAGTTGCCAGTTCTACAGCTTTACTGGTACTTCATATTTGACTTTGTCTGTTTACTAAATAACTACTCTTGAAGTGTTCATCTCATTCAATCCTGACAGTTTGATTCCTTGGCCACTTACTACTGTGATGTATGAAAGGTCATTAGACTAGAAGTCAGGAAGAGGCTTTTCTCTTGTTACTTTTTAGCTATATGAACTTGATTGGTCACTTAAACTCTAAGTACTTTAAGTAAAAAATTAATTGGGTGAGTTGGACACTTTTAAAGAGTTCTAAGTTTTACAATTTAAAAATATGATGTACTAATAATTCCACAATAAAAGCAAAAGATTTCTTTATTCTTACAGTTCAGCATCTAAGCGAACTCTGTCAGAAGAGAATAGGGGGCAGAGATGCAAGTGCTATTTAATCTGGTATGGGAGTTAGAAGTTTTTTTTTTTTTTTAGAACTGGGGATCAAACTCAGGACCTTGCACGTGTGAGGCAGGCACAGTGCCACTGAGCTAAATCCCTGGCCTGGGAGATAGAAGTTTTTGGCTTATGATCTCACTTTTCTCTTAAAAGTAGGAAGCTGTGTAGGTCCTCTGAGTATGAAGTGGGGATGGGATTAGAAGTGTGATGATATGTGAAAAAATATTCCGTGGAAGAGCAAAAGTTGACCAAGGAAACACTGATTGCTGGTAATTTGTTCAAGAAATGAAATGTCCATTTAAGGCAGATAGAAATTTGATTCTGTGCAGTGTGTACATTTATATAGCAATTCTTACCAGTCTTCCCGCTGTTAGGAAGAATTAAAAATTCTGTGGGGGACCTCACTCAGACTGTCTTTTTTATAGCAGAATCCTCAGCATTTAACAAGGTTTCTGGCAGTCAGCATTCTTTTTTTTTTTTTTTTTTCTAAGAGCGAACAACCAAGACAATGAACAGAAAAGAAAATTAAATTATTTGTAGTAGAGTTTTGTTAGATGTGAATGTCTTGAGTATAGAAAGAAAAGTACTTGAGAATATTGGCATAAAAATGGTTGAAGTGTTACCATGCAGTCACAGTGAGACAGTAAAGACAGAACATATTGGTAGGTAAAGTGGAGTGGTTGAAGGATTGAAGATCTATATATTTAGTTAATGAAGAAATACATTGGAAGTAACTGAGTGAGAGCTAGAAGGATAAAAGGATGTAGCCACGGTGGAGTGAGGACCAAGGTCTGGGATATGGCCCTTGGAGAGTATAGCTGAAGTAGAATGGAAGCAAAAGTTATTGGAGATAAAAGAAGCTAAGAGACTAAGTTACTGGTTCTCAAGTGCCCTGAGAGACATCTCAGAATATGTAAAGACATTATTTTTTGTTGTTACAATGACCTGGGAATGCTCTTGGTATCCCAGTACCACAAAGAATTACTGTATTGTGCCTGATATGTTAGAAGTACTCCCACTAGAAACATTGGACTAAGGTTTAGAAAAATTTAAGCTTTTTCTCTTGGACATAAAACATGCAGAGAGTTCTAAATGTCTAAATTTGAGTTTTCTTTTGTGGAGCAGTTAAAAGACTGGAGAAGGAAGAGGAAGAAGAAGAGGAAGCTCTTCCTTTAGATATGATGGATGAAGATGACTTACAGTTAATGAAGGACTTAGGACAAAGAGCATCTTTTCTAACAAGAGATCTTTCATCTAGGTAATACTTCATTTGGATTATCATTCACAAACTTGGTTCTGAATTTTACTTAGGTGACTAGGTCAAATCACTTATCTGTGAGCAGTGTTTACAAAGAGTAAACTTACTCAGTTTATCTATCTATCTATCTATCTATCTATCTATCTATTTATTTATTTTTTGGGTATGGGGCTTGAACTTGGGTCCTTGCACTTGTACAGCAGGTGGCAAAACCACTGGGCTAAATCCCGGCCCTCAGTTTATTTTTTAAGTAAAAAAAATTTGAATTTGAACAGTGAAGTATAGTGAATGGGGAACAATGCTGTTCTAGGTGAGTAATTTGCAAAACAGTCATTAGTTCTTTATGACATGATATCACTTAATGCCATTAGCTTGCTAGGTAGGGAAAACTGGTTCTTCCGTCACAATCACATGGTGTATATCTGAACTTTAATCTTCAAAGTGGTATGCTATGCTATGCTTGCTTTGGAAGATCTTGAGAATGTAAAAGAACACAGTGTCATCCTTGGCTCAGCATCCTGTTACCATTGTGATGAACTCAAGTGTTCTGAGTATCTGCTGAAAATGCTGTGATAAAAGTTATTTCAGCATGAGTGGTTCATTTCTAGTGAATTGTAGATCACATTATAAAGTGATCGCTCATGGTTCTCAAGTATTTTTCACTATGTAATAAGCATAACATAAAATATGTGCTAGCTTTGTACAGTGGCAGTAGCCAATGAGGTTTATCTGAGGTACAGTGATAATCAGTTTTTATCAGTAAGGTTTCTAGTCAGTAGCAGACTATTAATAATTAAACTTTTGGGAAATCAAAAGTTATACTTGAAGCTGGGCTTGGTGGTGCATGTCTGTAATTCCAGCACACTGGGAAACTGAGGCAGGAGGATCCCAAGTTTGAGCCTAGCCTGGATAATTTAGTGACTTAGCAAAACCCTTTCCCATCATAAAAATAAAAGAAGTAGGGATGTAGCTCAGTGCAGAGGCTCTGGATTCATTCCCTGCTACTGCAAAACAAACAAAAAAACCAAAACAAAACAAAATAAAAAACCCCCCAAAAACAGGGCCGGGGATTTAGCTCAGTGGTTCCGGTGCCTGCCTCGCAGTGCAAGGACCAGAGTTCGATCCCTGGTACCAAAAAAAAAAAAAACCCAAAAAACAAAAAAGCCCAGAAAGTTATACTTGGATTTTTTGCTTTGCAGGGATAGGGGAGTGCTCCTAACATCTGGGTCCTAACTCATTTCAAGGGTAAAATGTTAAGTCTTTAGGTATCTTTTAACATGCTCACTGTGGGGCTGTAATTTGTATGTCTTGCTGCTAGGCGGCTCTGATTTGAATTTGATTATTTCCGCTGGCTTGAACCAGCACAGTGGATGAATGACTGTCTCATCAGGTGGCTTCTACTGCTTCTCAGGGGCTCTTTGATTACAGTAATGCAAAGAAAGTCATTGATTTAGCAGACCAAGTATCATTATATTACAGTTCTTTAAGGAAAACATTAACATGGTGGTGCACACTCGTAATCCCAGCACTCGGGAGGCTGTGGCAGGAGGATTGCCATGAGTTGGAGGCCACCCTGGACTACATAGTGAGACTCTCAAAAAAAGTATACAATAATTGTAATACAGCTAGTTTGTGGTACAGTAGTTATTGGCAATGGGATGCTTGTAAGATTTCCATGTTGAAATTTAAAAAATTCTTGGTGAATTATTCATGAATATAAATAAATTTCTTTTAATTTAATGAAATAAGTTGTTGAATCAATTTTTAATAATATTTTTTATTTTTTAATAATTTAAAATTAATTAATTTTAATTGGTATGAATAGTATTAGTATTTAAACTTGGGCACTAATTATTCACATTCATGCAACTAACTTGATTTGGTCCATTTATAAACTTTTTATTAATTTTATTAGTAAAAAGACCAATAAAAGTGATTAGATTCATTTGTACCACCTGTGGTTCAAGCTGCCCAATTGGATAGTCATACAACCACTGGAAGGGCCAGGGGTTTGGCTCGGTGGTTCCGCCGCCTGCCTTGCAGGTGCAGGGTCCTGAGTTCGATCTCCGGTACCAAAAAAAACCAAAACCCACTAGTAGTTCAAGCTGGTGGGAGTGTGTTAAGGTATATATATTCTTTTCAATTTTTATTTTTCACTAGTACATGTTTGCAGTACATTATGAATACAGTCCTCATGGGAGTTGGTACATATAATAACACCTCTCAATTCTTTTTTTATCTCCTCCCCTCCCTTCCCTTCCTCGCATCTCTTAGTTCCCTTCCTTTTTGCTGCAAAAGATCTATTTTCTATTATTTGTCTTTTATTTTGCTCTTTATATTTTGGATTTCTCATCGGAGAGAAACCATGTGATATTTAAGATTGTATATCTATTTCATTTAACATTATGGTCTCAGGGTGCATCTGTTTTCCTAGAGATGACTCAAATTTGTCCTCCTTTACGGGGGAGTAGTTCTCCATTGTGTGTATAAATACCACATTTTCTTTGTCCATTCATCTGTTGATAGGTACATAGGCCATTCCGTGATTTAGCTGTTCTGAGTTGTGCTGCTGTAAACATGGCTATGCCTGTATCACTGTAATATGATTTTAATTCTTTTTTTTTTTTTGTACTGGGGATCGAACTCTGGGCCTTGCGCTTGTGAGGCAGTGGCGGAACCACTGAACTAAATCCCTGGCCCCGATGATTTTAATTCTTGAGAAGATTCCTAGAAGGAGAATGAATAGCCTACATTGAATGGAATTTCTATTTTTGGTTTTTTGAGAAATCTGTATACTGATTTCTGTAATGGTTGTACTAGTTTATATTCCCATCAACCTTTTAAGATATATTAAAATAATAGAATTATTTTTCTGCAGTGAGCCACTTCATGGCAAGAAACGAAAGCATGAGCGCATCATAGATAAATATGAAAAAATACCAAGAACTCTGCAAACTGCACCAGAGAAGGAACTGATTCACTTGCTTCCTATCAAAGATAAAAGTGGTATAATTCCACAGACCAGGGAGAAACCCGGTGAGTCTGAGTGATGTTTAGTTAAACATTAGCTACTAATATTAAAACCTATATTTTGATTTAAAATTTTTAGTTTTATTTTGACATTTACTTATGTCTACAAAATAGGAGTAGCCACAGTTAGCCATATAGCAAGATTGATGCTTTTGACCAGAAGTAGAGATGATTATTCATCAGGTATTCATTGTAGTATGAATATAACTGAAGCTCAAGGTTCCAGTGATTTTCTTTGCAACTAATTTATTTCACCAAACTCTTTTGCTTCATTTATTTGCAGTGCTGGGATCAAACCTAGTGCCTTGTGGCAAGCACTCTACCAGTGAGCTACATTGTAGCCCCAAAATTCTTTTGTTTAGGGCATATTAATTATCTTTGACCTTCTTTTTAAAATGTGTATAGTGTTTGTTATAATCCAGACTGGCCTTTTACTCACTTGTAGCCCAGAGTGACCTTAAACTTGTGATCCTTCTGCTGTAATGCTAGGATTACAGGTGCCACCATGATCAACTTTAATGTATCTTTTGGTGTATGTTTGTAAAATAAAATACATAGAAAGAAAGAAAGATATGAAGTTGCATGGTTTATCAAAAAGCACACACCCCATAAAACTAGGAGGGAAATCTAGGCAAGAAATAAATATTGCCAGCATGTAAAACCTTTTATTGTGCTTCCTTGAATCACTAACTGCTCCTTCCCTATAGACATACTTACTCACTTGAGTTTTGTGGTAATCATTTCCCTGTTTTTCTTTATGGTCTCACGACTTAAGTATATTATCACAATTTCAATACATATATTTTGCCCTAATAGTTATTGACAGTGACAGAGATGAAGAGGATCAAAAAGAAGAGCTGGAACTTGAGGAAGGTAATAGGGTGCATCTTTACATTGACTAAATAGTTAATTCAGAATTACATTTTTTATATAATAATAAGTGAATTAATTTTCAGCAAGATCTGGTGTATATATTTTGGGGTACTGCTAATTTAAAGGTCATTTTGAACATTTTTCCACATTTGAAAGTCATAGCTTGTGGATTTTGATGCATGTTTTTTTATTATGGAAAAATTTACAAATTTTAGTTGTTCTGAATTTCTTTTAATTGTAAGATAAGGGCTTATTTACTAATAACAGCTATCTTTTTCACTTTAAGTTTCAAAAATAATTTCGTGGTATAAATCCTGGTTTATTACTAGAGCAATTATACTTTGTATATGTCTGTTTAGATCACTAAATGTGGATTTCTAAAAGCCAGTAATTGAAGTAAGAAAGGACAAATTTTATTGTTTCAAACTATACTCATTTAGAATCCCTGACAGAACAAACTGATTAAATTTTACCTTCATTTAGCAAACCTCGGTAATTGTGTAAATGAAATTGGAGGTTAATTATTTAACTGTTTTCAGTCATCTATCATAGGCTCATTACAGATAATGCTTTTGTGCTCATTAAATTTATTCTCTGTGAATTTCTTAAGGTGGACAAGTTTTGTGTAATTAAAAGTACTGCATAGAGTTGAAAACAAATAATATTCTGTATTTAGAAAAAGGTAAATCTGAATTCCCCTTATTGGGAGTTTATTAACATTGTAGTTAAGAATGTGAGCTGTAGAATAATATTACCAGAGTTTGAATCCCATTTCTGTTAGGTTTATGAAATTAGCCCAGTTACTTTCTTTCCTTTTGCCTGTACTTTCCTTATCTACGAAATGAGTCAAATGAGTTACATGATTGTTGAAAAGGATGATATATATATAGTAATGAATACAATATTCTTAGCTTTCATTGTTATCAGTGTTAAAAGAAAATTATTAATTAATTTTCTTGGCTATTTATAAGTAATGTTTAAAACAGAAAATTGAATCTGTTTCAGAGGTCATTGAAGAACCTGTTCGAGAGCTGACTATAGAAGAACATTTGATTGAGAGGAAGAAGAAGCTACAGGAAAAGAAAATACATATTGCAACTTTGGCATCTGCCATATTATCAGATCCAGAAAGTAATGTAGGTAGTATTTATTTCTGTGGGCTTTTCATATGAGATGTCTTATAAATATGTTACATATTAAGATTCTCTTATTGCCTATTACTATCACAAAGAAGACATAAAGGAGCTGATTAGAATAAGACAGTAGAGATAATCTTAGCTTAATCCTACATCTGAATTTAATTTCTGTTGTAATCTTAGAGAAGTCACAGATTCTCTGAATCATACTTATTTTTCTCATTTCCAAGTGAAGATATCAGATTATGGTGTTAATTCTAAAAGTAGTAAGTATATAAACATTAAACGTATTAGGAAGAACTTGTAAGTTTGTTGATCTATAGAGTTTTTAATAAGGAATATGCTACACAAAAGTCAGTGGAATTCAATAATGTATATTTTTAGGGTGGGGGATGTAGCTCAGGGGCGCTGCACTTGCCTGGCAAGCATAAGATCCTGAGTTCTATTCCCGGTTATATATATTTCTAAAAAATTTTTTGCGATAGGATCTCACTATGTAGTTCAGGCTGACCTTGAACTCACTGTGTAGCCCAGGTTGGCCTCAAACTCTTGGCAATCCTCCTGCCTCAGATTCCCAAGTGCTGGGATTACAGTTGTATGCTACCATGCCCAGCTGTCAGAAATAGTTTTAAGTGGAAAATATTTTAAGTGAAATAGGACCAGAGTTATAGCGAATTATTACTGGTTCTTATATACAGTATAGATAGCGGCAGAAGTAGTGATAGAACATATGAACTCAGAGAACCTGAGGTTTAGTATTGGCTGTGCTAAGTACTGTTTGTGAGACTTTGCGTAAGTCATTTTAACCAAGACTTAATTTCCTCCTCTCTAAAAAAGAGGGTAGTATTCATTGGAAAACTTTGTTGTGACAATTACATGAGAAGATAAAAATGATGGAAATCATAGAAAGTGATATTGTTCTTATTGGTATCTCCAGCTACCTACTATGACAAGTATTTGTTTTTTGAATAATAAAATAGAGAATTTACACTTACAGAAAAAATTTCATATGGGTACACTTTGGAGTAGTACTGGTCTTTTTCTGATAAAGGGAAAAATCTGGATCAGAGTTTTTTCACTTGTATAGTCTTATTTATTATGAAACTATAGAGACAAGTTCTGGTGATCACATTTTATAACTAGAAAACATTTTACAACTTAAAACATCCAATTGATTTTTTTTCCAGATTTTAATAATGAGTAGATTGGAATCCAGGCGTTCTAATAGTTTGGAGTCTTATGCTCATTTCACACAATTTAGGAATGGCAGATATGTGGTGGCGTATTTTTCCCACTCCTTGCTATGGTAAATATTGGTAAACATGCAGAACATTGCTTTTCAAGTTATCATTCCAGTAGGGTGTGGTAGTGCATGTCTGTAATCCCTGTAATCAGAGTTGGGAGTCTGAGGCATGAAGACTACAAGCTCAAAGCCAGCCTAGACAACTTAATGAGATCATAATTAAAAAAAAAATAGAACTAGGATGTAGCTCAGTGGTAGAGTGCCTAGCATGTTTAAGACCCTGTTCTATCCTTAGTACTAGCAAAATAAACGAAAACAAAACAAACCCCAAATTTCCAGCAGGAAATAATATTCATCAAAGCAAACACATTAGTTGAAAATGTTTTGCTTCTGCGTTGCATTATACATATTATCTTTGTACGAATCTTGTTGAAATTAATGTAGCTGACAGTATTATATTTAATTCTTGATTATGTGTGTGTGATTGTATTTGATTGGTGTGTATGACATTTTAATATGTCAAAAAAAGGTTTAGGAAAATAGATATGCTTTAAGAAAACTCAGTATAAAAGAATTTCTAAAAATAGGTAACTTTCCAAAGTTAAACTTTTTAATAAAGACTATTTTTCCAACTACTTGTATAACAAAAATCTGTTTAGCTTGGCACTTAAGTGATTTATCTGTTGGTAACATGAGCAGTGTCTGGAGAGTTACTTGTGGCTTGACCAGATGTTTTTGGTCATTATGAGAACTCAGACTTACTGTAGCAGCTATGAAGCTGTATTTTATTCAGAATTGTTTTACCATGATTTCTGTAGCCTTATAAATTATTTCTTTAACAGATTAAAAAATTGAAAGAGTTACGTTCCTTGCTGGTGGAACAAGACCCTGATGTGGCTGTTACTGTTCGAAAGTTGGTGATAATTTCTCTGATGGAGCTATTTAAGGATATTACTCCTTCATATAAAATCCGGCCCCTAACAGAGGCAGAAAAATCTACTAAGGTAATGTAAGGTACAATTACTGCACAAAGCAAGCTGAGAAACTGTGTGTGGTGGTGCATGCATGCTTGTAATTCTAGCTACGCAGAAGGCTGAGGCAGGCTTGCAAGTTTGAGATTGGTGTGGGCAGCTTAGTGAGACCCTGTCTCAAAACAAAAAAGGTCTGAAGATGTAGCTCAGTGCTCCTTGGGTTCAATTCCCAGTACTGCAAGGGAAAAAAAAGCTAAAAATTTTGGGATTATAGATGGGAAAAATAAAGTGTTTCTTTTTTTTTTTTTAACCCCCCCCCCACTGGGTATATATGAGCCACACATATGTTGTGCTATTTTTTAAATTTTAATATTCTGATTTTAAAAATGATCTTTTTGGTCTTTTCAGATCCGCAAAGAAACTCAGAAGTTAAGAGAATTTGAAGAAGGCCTGGTTAGCCAATATAAATTTTATCTGGAAAATTTGGAGCAAATGGTGAAAGGTATATTAAATATATGTTAAAAGTGCATACTTAGGGATGGGGATTTAGCTCAGTGGTTCCGCCACCTGCCTCGCAAGCACAAGGTCCCAAGTTCCATCCCCAGAACCAAAAAAAAAAACCGCATACTTAAGTCTTAATCACAAAGTGAATTATATTCTGTGTTGTGTAGTGACAGCAGGTGTATGGTGAGGACCTGAGTGAGACTTCCTGAGTTCAACCTGGTTCCACCACTTACTACCTTTATTACTTTTGTGATGGGCAAGTTTCTTTTATCTTTCTGTGACTCAGTTTTCCTGTCTATGAAATGGGAATAATAAGAAGAGCACTTGCCTCAGGATTATTGTGGAAAGTAAGAGCTGGGGATTTAGCTCAGTGGCACCGCACCTGCTTTGCAAATGCAAGATCCTGAGTTCATTCCCCAGTACCAGAAAAAAAAAAAAAAAGAGACATTGTGGAAAGTAAATGAATTTATAAACAAATTAAAACTGTGCCTAGCATTTCAAGGTACTATATTTTATTTGCTATTAGTTTTAACTTGCTATATTACTATTAATATATATTAGTATATAATATTAGTATTGTTGCTGTAGTACTTTAGTAAGTAGTTGTATGTTTTTTGAATTTATGAATCCTTGGGATTTAATCTATTTTTTTAAAAATTTGGAAATGGTAGTCAGAGAAAGATACCTTAAGATGTATGTGACTGTCCTGAAAATGAACTTAAGAATCAGTTATTAAGGAGCATAAACTCTTCTATCAAACCTTTTTCTGTTTCTTCAGCAAAGAAAGGGCTTAGGAAAGATTGGCGTGTGAATGCAGAAGAGATTTAATCACCTAGGGCAGGTGCTTTCATTTGATCCATTTGGGCTCCTCCAGTTAGTGTTAAGGCCTAAGAACTACTGAATCCTATTGGCCCCATAAGGGTGTGAAAGTGAAGGAGAGTGGAGTGGTGTGAGTGACATGGATATGGCTTCTGTATTTTGATGTCCCAACTGGAATCTACTTACTAGCATTTGCTTTTTCAAGGATACAGCCTGGGAGCTTTGTACAGACTTTGCCCATTGAAAATATAAGATGAGCCAGCCACACATGTCATTTTGAAAAATTGAGGCCACACTAAAAGTTAAAAAGTAATGAAATTAATTTAACAGTAAGTTTTATATATATACCCAGATTGTCATGTCAGCATGTAATCTATTTTAAAAATTAGTGTGATTTAAAAATTTTCTTTATTTGGTCCTAGATTTAAAATCCAGTGTGTATTTTACACATGAACATATGTGAACATTTCACATGCTCAGTAGCCTCTGATATCTAAGCAAATCAGACACTCAAATCTTTTTTCTTTTCTTCCTTCTTTTTTTATTCTTCTAGTTTTTCAAATTGTGAAATTTACTTTAAGAGAAAGTTAATTAGCTTAAATATTGGCCAATGATTAATTACATTTATCTTTTAATAGACTGGAAGCAAAGAAAGCTGAAGAAAAGTAATGTAGTTTCCTTAAAGGCATACAAAGGACTGGCTGAAGTGGCTGTGAAGAGCCTATGTGAGCTGTTGGTTGCTCTGCCTCATTTTAATTTTCACAACAACATCATCGTATTGATTGTCCCTCTCATGAATGATATGTCAAAATCAGTAGGTTGCTTTAAATGATTACTGTTATGCTTAACAAATTTATAGGCTATGTGATTCCTGACCCCCATTCTTTTGGAATTTATTCATTTTAGAATTAATTTATTGGTAAAATAAATCGATTGATTAAATACTTTCTCTTTATTAAAATTATTTGGATATAAGTACAGTGGAGTATTTCTCAACAAGGGGCAATTTTGACCCCTAGGAATGTTAGGCAGTATCTACAGACATTTTTGATTGTCGTGATGGAGGTAATGGTAGGAGGTGTGTTAGTAATGTGTTTAGGGGGCCGGGGATTAGCTCAGTGGTTTTGCCGCCTGCTGCGCAAGCGCAAGGACCCAAGCTCAATCCCTAGCACCAAAAAAAAATAAATAAATAAAAAGAAATGTGTTTAGGGGCACAGTCCAGGGAGGCTTTTTAACATGTTATAATGCACAGAACAGGCCCTGCACAAGGAAGAATTATCTGGCCCAAAATATGAGTAATAACAAAGTTGAGGATACTGGTTTACTACATTTTATTTTTCAGATATCTGAAATGTGTTGTGAGGCAGTAAAGAAACTCTTTAAACAAGATAAATTAGGCCAAGCTTCTCTTGGTGTAATTAAAGTGATTTCTGGCTTTGTGAAGGGCAGAAATTATGAAGTTAGGCCAGAGGTAAGCCTTTCTTTTCTTATTTTGCATTTTATGTGCTTTTAAATTACATTACCTTTCAGTTGTTTTGAGGAATTTATTCTTTACAGAAGTATGTAAAGTAAAAAGTAAAAGTACCCAAACTGCTTAAAGTCCTGTTAACAGTTTTGTCTGTATATCCTTATAGGTATTTTTCTGTGCAAATAGTTGCTTATATTTTAAAATAAAAGATGGGCCTATAATAGGAAAACTGTTCTAAGCAGCTTTCATTGTATATATTGTGAACTTATATACTGCGTAGGGTTATCCCACTCTTTGAAATATCTGCCATAATATTCCATTAAGCGAATATATGATGTCCTACTTGGTGGACAGCTGAGTTTCCAGGTTTTAGCTGTTACAGCCAATGTTGAAGAGAACATTTTGGGTATATTTTTTCATATTGAGTTAAATTTCTGAAGTGTCTATACTAGAACCAATAGTAATGACATTTAAAAACTTGAGAGACAGGGCCGGGGATTTAGCTCAGTGGTACTGTGCCTGCCTGGCAAGTGCAAGGTACTGAGGTTGATCCCTGGTACCAAAAAGAAATAAAAAAATGAAATAAAAACTTGATAGACAAATTGTTTTACAAAAAATTTTATCAATTAAATTTCCACTAGTGGGCTGGGGATTTAGCTCAGTGGTTTCTCTGCCTGCCTTGCAAGCTCATGGTCCCGAGTTCGATCCCCGGTACCAAAAAAAAATTTTTTTTCCACTAGTATTTTTAATTACTATTAAGTTTCCACTAGTATCAATTCCTCACTACCTACTTGGTGCTCATTGTTACTGTTTAATCTTTGTTAGTCTGGTAGGTGAAAAGATATATACTATATATATAGAGAGAGAGAGAGAGAGACAGAGACAGAGTGTATTTCTTTGTATATATTTATTAGTGATTTTGATTCCTTCCATACATTCATTGCTCATATGAATTTTTCACCTGTTTATATTTATCTGTACCTGTATGTATCAGTTTTTATCAAGTATTTGTTTTCCTTAATAACTTGTGATAGTTTTAAAAATAATAATTCATTTCAATAAATATTTGCTATGTGCCAGGCACTATTCTAGGTCTTAGGGATAAAAGAATAAGAAAATGAACAAAACTCTGTGAAACTTGTACCATGTATTAAGAATTTTAAATCTTTTTGTTGCATAGGTTGCAGATTTTTTTGGTTAAATTGCTGCTTAATTTGCTATTGAATTTTATATATGAGGGTGTATTTTGTCATGAGTAGAGCTCCTCAGTCTCAAGATTTATAGATTTTTCCCTGCCAGAGTGTTTTTAATTTTTGTGGCCTTTTTTTTAACCTATTTATTTGACATCTTTCTGTGTATAGGTATTTAATATGCATAACTACATATACATTTGAAATGGACAGTCATTTATTCCAATGTTATTTTCCTTGTTTTGTTGATTTAAAATGCTGCTATATACTGAATTCATATACACATTGAGTTTTATTTCGTTCTGTTCTATTGATTCAGTTAATTCCCTTCAGATATACTGTTTTTATTATTGTAGGTAGGAAATACTGATTGAAATGAGTGTAACTGATAGAAGTCATGAACCATTTTTCTTTTTCCAAAATACTCCTTTTTTGTGGTATCGGGCATCAAACTTGGGACCTTGTGCTTGCAAGGCAGGTGCCAGAACTACTGAGCTAAATCCCTGGCCCAAAAATACTCCTTTTTTGTTGTATTTGCTTTTTTGAGATAGAGTCTTACTGTGAAGTTCAGGCTGGCCTTGAATTCACTATAAAATAGCCTAGGCTAGCCTTGAACTTGTGGCAATCTGCCTCAGCCTGCTGAGTGCTGGAACTACAGGCATGCACTACCACATCTGGCTCAAAATATTCTTATTTGTTTTTGTGTATTAATCCAGATAGAATTTACAACCAGTTTTTTATTACTTTTTCTTCAGTGCTCCATATAGAGAGTCTGGTTAGAATTGATTTAATATATGAATTAGGTTAGGAGGTTTAAAATATTTACTGAGTTGATTTATTTTTCTCTTTAAGAATATCTGTATTATCTTGTGATTTAGGATGACTTATGTTCTTAAATGAAGTGTTACAGTTTTTGGGGCGTTTTTTTGGTACCGGGGATCGAACTCGGGTCCTTGCGCTTGCACAGCAGGCGGCGAAACCACTGAGCTAAATCCCTGGCCCCATAAGTGAAGTGTTATAGTTTTCTTCATTTGGATCATATTTATACAGTGGACCCTTGACTTCTGAACTTGATTGGTTCCCAAGGGCTGGTTGTCACCAAGTCAGTAGAACTGACACCAGGATGTTTACTGGGTACACATAGATAACAAGAAGCAGATGAATCTTCCATTAACCTAGTTAACCCAAGTTGTTTGTATGTCAGGCTGGTCATAACTTGAGGGTCCACTGTGTATATGTTATTGTGGTACTGGAGATTGAAGCCAGGACATTCTCACTGAGCTACATTCTTAATCTAAAAATTTTAAATTTTCGGGGTGGGGATTTAGCTCAGTGGTCCTGGCGCCTGCCTTGTAAGCGCAAGGTCCTGAGTTTGATCCCCAGTACCAAAAAACAAAATTTTAAATTTTCAGACAGGGTATCACCTAGCTTCCCAGGCTGGCCTTGAACTTTCAATCCTCCTTCCTCATCCTGCCAGAGTTCTGGGTTTATATAGGTGTGCCACCATGCTTGGCTGATAGGCTGATATATTTTATTAAATTTATTTTTAGTCCTATAGTTCTGGTAGTTAAGGTGGTATTTTCTACTTGGGTGTTTTCCTTATTTCATAGTTTTCTTTGCCATCAAGCTCCTCTTTTTCTTAAAGCTGATGATTTCAGTTCGACTACTAAAATGGTAAATATAGGCTCAATAAGAGAAAATATTTAGCATCTTTATTGAGAATTTGATTGACCAGATAGTATGAGTTGCACATGGAACTATCTTTTTTCTCTTTTTTAATGGTGCTGGAGATTGAACGATGGCCTCTCATGCATGCTGGGCAGGCACTCTCCCACACAGCTACATACCCAGCCCTCTAAATAATACATGTGTTAATTTACAGGGTTTTTTTTGTTGTTGTGTTATTTTATGAATGCGTAGAATACCTTATAAAATATTAAAAATGGATCTAATACCTAGAATGCTTCAGGTTACTTTATACCTTTGGTTGTTCCTTTTTATTCTGTTTTTAGCTCTGTTATCTGGAATACTTAGGTTTCTTCCAAAGGTACATGTTGGAACATTCAAATAATGCAAACCTGTAGTTCTCAAGTTTGTGTTCCACAGTGTTGCTGTGACCTTGGGAAATCAATACGATGATTTTTTCCAGAGAAAATGTAATGTTTTAAACACCCCTTTTTGTATTTAGTTTGAATGTGAGGACAGTTGGTGTGGTACATAAAATACCAGTTTTTTAATGGAACTTTTTAATAGCAGAACATTTATTGGTATATTTTAGGCATACGTAATGATAACACTCATTGTAGGGAATTTGCACCTGTACATGATACATCCTACCTCTTATTTCCCATTCTCCTCCTTCCCTCCAGCCCCTTCCCTCCCTGTGTACAAAAGCTTTGTTTCCATTTTTTCTTTCTATTTTCCCTTTTTTCTCTTGTCCCTTCCTTTCTCCCTTGTTTCCCTTCCCATTTGAACATTTTCTTCCCATTTCCCAATATCTATTGTACATTTTAGTCCTTATTTCCACTTTCGGTTTCTCACACCACATAAGTAATGAGGTATATAAACATGTATCTGATTTATTTCACTTAAGAGTATCGTCTTAAGGTCTGTCCATTTATCTATAAATGTCTGACGCTCATCCGTCTTTATGGCAGAGTAGTACTCCATTGTATAAAGAAACCCACATCTTTATCCATTCGTCGGTTTAATGGGCACTTGGGCTGTTTCCAAGATTTAGCTATTACAAACTATGCCGCTATAAACATGAGTGTGTGTATATTGTTGTGGTATGATGCTTTTAATTCTTTTGGGAAGATGCCAAGAAGGGGAATAGCTGGGTTGAATAGAACTTGTAGTTTTAGTTTTTTGAGAAATCTTCACACTGATTTCCACAGTGGTTGCACCAGCCTACACTGTCACCAAGAGTGGAGAAGGGCTTTTTTTTCCCCATGCCCCTCTAGGATTTGTTATTGGTTGATTTCTTGATAACAGCCATTCTTTCTCAAGTGAGAAGGATCTCAGTGTTGTTTAAATTTGCATTTCACAAAAGACCCGTGATGTTGAACATTAGATTACATGTTTTTATGAAGTTCTTATGGTTTCTTTTGCCGTTGATTTCCAATTTCATTGTACTATGGACTGATAACTTTGATGGGATAATTTCACTTCCTTTGCATTTACTTAAGCATGTTCTATGAGACACTATGTGGTCTAATTTGGAGTATGTCCCATGTGCCGCTGAGAAGAATGTGTATTCTGATTTGGGGTAGGATACTCTGTAGACATCTACTAAGTCCATTTGTTCAAAAGTTTGGTTCACTTCTAATATTTCATTGTTGATTTTTTTGTCTAGTTGATCTGTCTGTTTGTGACAGTGGGGTATTGAGGTCTCCAATTACTACTGTATTAGTGCTTATATGATTTTTCATGTCTGTTAATATTTGTATTATATAGTTGGGTACACTGCTATTTGGTGCATATATATTTATGATTGCTATCTCTTCCTCTTGGATTGTTTCCTTTACAAGGATGTAGTGACCTTCTTTGTGTCTCTTAATCAGTCTTGGCTTGAAATCCACTTTGTCTGCAAATAGAATAGCTACCCCTGCTTTTTTCCAGGTTCTTGTTTCATGGAGTATTGTTTTCCATCCCTTTTCAGTCTGTGGATTTGTTTTTAAATTAAATGTGTTTCTTGTATGGAGCATATTGTTGGATCTTGCTTCTTGATCCATTCTGCCAGTCTGTTTCTTTTGATTGGTGAATTGAGACTGTTAACGTTGATGGTTATATCTTGTCTCTGTCATGTTATTTTCCTGTTGTTGGCTTCCTTCTTTCCTTTTCTGTTTAATTTGTTTCCTTGCCTGGATTCATTCTGTTGGGGTTCATGGAGTTGTAATCCTTGTTGTCTCTTTCTAGAATATCCTTCACAACACTTTGGAGTGCTGGTTTTGTGATCATGAATTTCTTCAAGTGTTCTTTGTCATGGAAGTATCATTCCTCAATCAATTTTGAAATACAGTTTTCTGGGGTACATCAATCTGGGTTGAAGGTTTGCTGCTCCCTGGCATCCTGCTGACTTGAACTCACCTCTCACTGAGACACCAGGAGCCACTGGATGGAGTCGGCCTATATCTGTTCTGAATTCTGAGCTCAGTTGGCTCATCTTCAAGAGGGCTACTGACTATTCACCCTCTCCTGGGTGAGTGTGAACCCAGATAACTCACCAGCCACTGCAGTCTGCTGCGACCAGTGCTCTGTTCCACTGGTGCATTTCTCTGTGGAGACCTCTAGGGTTACCGGTAGTCACCATGTGTCTGCAGGTTTGATCTGCCATTCCTACGCTGTGATCCTGGGCTCTGGGAGAGAGTGCTGCTTGTTATCTCCCTCCTCTTCATTGAAGTCTCTTTGCTCTCCCCGTGGACTTCAGTTCTTGCTTCAGATCCTTCCTGAGTCCTGGGGACCCACTTCCCTCCTTCTTCTCCTCCATGTGCCACTATATTCCAGTGTCAGGACACCAGATCCTGTAGAGACTCTTCACTGTGCAATCTTCCCAATTTTTAAAGTAGTTTCTGAAGTTTTTGAATGGCTTAAGGTAGTAGTTCCTATTTTGGTCCTTGGATCAGCATGAGCTGGGAATTGGAAATACAAACTGTGGGGTTCTACTGCAGACCTACTGAGTCAGAAAGTTTGGGGGTGGGGTCCATCAGTTTGTGTTGTAGCATGTCTTCCAGGTGATTCTGATACTTGCCAAAGTTGGGGAACTACTTATTTAAACTAAAATAAGTTGTCTCTAAATTAGTAGTAGTTTTTATGCCCATATTTTATTGTGAGAAACAGATGAAGACTAGCATTGTTAACTGCAAAACTGAACCAAGTTTGGTAAATTAAAGCTAGTTTAGAAACAATTTATACCTCCTTACATACTTTTCCAAACATTTCTACATCCTTTTTATTCTTTGTAACATATTCTTGCCTCCTTATACTCATTAAACAGCAGAGTTTATATATTTAGTCGAATACTAATGGCCTTTCATAGACACAATAACTGAATATGATTAGCAAAAAGATGGTAGAACTTTGTGTAAAATGTGATAAAAGATGTTTCAAAGTCTTTTATGTGAATGAAGGAAATAGCATTGTTAAATGCTTACTTTTCTATATAGTTTTTGAAGGCAATGTAACTAAATTGTATTTTCTTGATTTTTTTCAATATTAGATGTTAAAAACATTTTTGTGCCTAAGAATCAAGGAGGTAGAAGTGAAAAAAGACACAGAGGACATTAATAAACCAAAAAAGTTCATGACTTTTAAGGAAAAGAGAAAAACACTATCAAGAATGCAGAGAAAGGTTTGGTTTATTTCCTTTTTTGTTTCATTTAAATATACTGTTTTATTTTTTTCTTAGATTAAATCATAGTCTAGTCTGAAGTAAATCATAGTTAAAATGCAAGTATAAAACTTGAAATCTAGGAGGCAGGTGTGTTAGTGCATGTTTGTATTCCATACTGTGTGGGAGGCTGAGGCAAGATCACTTGAGCCGAAGAGTTCCAGGCCATTATATTACTATCAACATAGTGATACTGTCTCAAAAAAAATTTTATACTTTAATTTTATAATTTAATACTTAGAGAGTTTTCTTTTTCCCAGTTACTGCAAAGAAATGTTTTTCTAAATGAATTTGATCTGACATAATGCTTCCTTCCAGCATTAGGGAGTAGAAAAAAAACGGATATTTGATATAATTTGTGTGTGTGTGTGTGTGTGTGTATAAATGTCAGTAGTCAATAGTTTTGACAACTACTGGCAAAGACAATAATGGGTGAAAAGAATTTTTTCATGTGGGCTTTTATCCTTTGGCTTTTTAGATCAATGTAGAATTATTGTGATAAGTAATTTTTTTCCTTAATGGAAAGGATATATTTATGTGAAGATGAGAGCAAAGTAAGTTTCTGTTAATTGAATCATGTTTTTTGATTGGTTAGAATTCCAACCCCTTGTTAATTCTGGGTTGAAATTCCAGCTCTTTGTTATTTACTGAGACTTTGGAAATTATTTTTTTAAAGAATTCGGGCTAATAATACCTTACATTTGCATTTATGTAAAGCACTTGATAGATTATTACATTGAACAAGCTTTATAAATATTAGTTCTTATTACTATTACCATCATTATTATCACTTCTCAAAATATTTCTAAACTGTTAGGGTTATGAAATTGATAAAAATAATTTTCAGGGACCTCCATCTTTGAATTGGTCTAATGAATTATGAAAACATGATAGAAATTTCAAAATAAAACTAATAATTAGAAACGAATGAAGATAAATATATTGGGATAATATAAATACTTAAAATAAATTGGGTCCAGCACATATATAGCTGTTGTGGGGGATGGGTGATGACAAAGACCCAATAAAAACATGACACCTCTTTATCAGTTTCTCTTGAGGGAAGGAAACTTCAGTGTGCTCTCTTGTGCTGCAGGCAGCTTAATAACCATTGTTTGCTGCTCTTCCAGCATTAGGAAGTGGAAAAAAAGTGAATATTTTATATTATCGTATATATACATCTAAATGTAATTAAGAAGAATTGTTGATAATGGGTCAACACAGCCACATGAAGGCTGTGTAGATTGAAACCTTTTATGTATGGATTATTTAACATTAGGAATTATTTTGGGGCTCAGTATTTTTCTTAAATTTAATTGAAATTATAGAAAATGATAGCATATCTTATGTAGCTACCATTCAGAATAACCAGGGGACATAAGAAGAATTAAGATGTGTTATGTACATGTACCAGTTCCTCACAATGAATGTAATAATTATATATTGCAAACATGTACTAATAAAAATTTAAAAAGAATGAATAAATGTTCATAGATTTCCTTTTTTTTTCCTTGAAAAGAAAGAAACCTTTGAGGAGAGAGTCAGAATTCCCTTTGTTTTACTCTCCAGTCTTGTTCTGCTTTCTTTCTAGATGGCAAACACCTTTTAAAATTTGTTTTGTGGGCTGGGGATTTAGCTCAGTGGTTTTGCCGCTTGCTGCGCAAGCACAAGGACTCGAGTTCAATCCCCGGTACCAAAAAAAAAAAAAATTTGTTTTGTATGTCTTATCCATGCTTTTTTACTTTTGCTTATATTTACATTTACATTCATAGACTATATAGTCTTATATGTGTCTTTTAATGTTGACATTATCCCTCTTTGCTTCTTTTACTTAGTGGTATATACTCTTAACTTTTTCTTTTAGTGGAAGAAAGCAGAGGAAAAGCTAGAGCGAGAGCTTCAGGAGGCAGAAGCTTCAGAGAGTACTGAGAAAAAACTTAAACTGGTAGGCAGAATCACATTCTGTTATGCTTTCAAAGTGTTGTTAAATAATTTAAAAAACTTTATTGTTTCAGCTTATGGGTATATAATTTTGTGTTTTTTTGGTACCGGGTATAGAACTTGGGTCCTTGCGCTTGCAAGGCAGGCGGCGGAACCACTGAACTAAATCCCCGGCCCTAAATGGGTATATAATTTTGATTTTTTTTCATGAAGCTTAGATGATTTTATGATGTGCGAGAAACTGATGTGTTAGGGCCAGGGATTTAGCTCAGTGGCACTGCCCCTGCCTCACAAGTACAAGGTCCTGAGTTCGATTCCTGGTACTAAAAAAAAGAAACTAATGTGTGATCTCCGGTAGTTTTCTGTAATCACAAGATATATATCTTCATTCTATTTGGTTAAAATTCTAAAGATTGAATTGTGGGCAGGGATGGGAAAGAATTAAGATTTAGCATTGAAAGTCATAATTCAACCCGGGGAAAGCATACCAGATTATCCTACAGTAATTTTGTCTGTTTTCTCTGGCAGCACACGGAGACTTTGAATATTGTGTTTGTGACCTACTTCAGAATATTGAAGAAGGCTCAAAGGTCGCCTCTCCTGCCAGCAGTTTTAGAAGGTCTTGCCAAGTAAGGGCTGTATAGGTTGAAACCTTTCAGATTTTTTCTAAAGAGATAAGATCAAAGTAACGAATTTTAAACAGAGTTCCCTAATGATGTCCCAGTGTCCTCAGTCCACATTCCTTTTTTGTCACCAGTCTTTCCTTGAAACTATTTATATCAAGGGCTTTTTTGGTTTTCTCATCTCAAACCATTCATTTAAAAAAATCCCTTTCACTCTTTTCTTCTGCTTAGTAAATTCTAGGTGTCCTTAAGGTTCATTTCTCATTTCTTGGTTCTGATTTGCACTATTTAGTCAGTTATTTACCACCACAGTTTGGGTTGATCATGCACAAATCTGGCTTGCTTGTCATTTCTCTAATCCTGTACAATCTGTCCTATTAAAATCCATCTTTTTGTGTATTCTATCAATGCTAATGACTTTGTTGGGGAATTTGTTAATGACTGTCAGGATAGCTTTTCACAATTAAATTTAAAGTAGTATCCGGTACAACATTGCTATCTAACATGAACTACACTTGGAAATTAGCCACGTTAAACAGTTAAAAGCAGGTGAAATTAATTTTAGTGTATTTGATTGAATTTTATTTACCTAAAATACTGTTTTAAAATATAATCAGTAATAGGCATTACTGAGATACTTGGCATCTGTTTTTTTTAAGACATGTCTGAACACTGGTATATATTTTATACTTATATACGTCTCAATTGGACTACCATTGTGGGAAAGCACAGTTTTAAAAATAAGAGTTAAAAGGTAGGATGAATGGCTAGAAGATATAGAATAGGCAAAACATTTTTTTCTAATGCTTGGAGCTGTTTAGCTGTGGAATGCATATCTTTATAAGGATGCAATTGAAAACTTTCAAAGAAAGGCTGATTAAAGAAGGAATTATTCCTGTATTACAATAAGATCTGCAGTTTGTGTTTTTAATGACCAATTCCTTTATTTAAAAATTTTTAAAAATACATGCTCATTTAAATAATGATGCAGAAGAATATAAAATTTAAAATAAGTTCCTCCTATAAATGTATGCATTGTCTGTCTACTGGCTTTTGTTTTTTAACATAAATGGAATCATGCTATGTCTTATAACTTGCCTTTTTAGGGTAAACAGTGACTCTAGATATCTTTCCATGTTAGCCCATAAAGGTTACTTATTTTTTTAAGTTCATAATACTCCATTTTATGGATATGAAGGCTTACTTGGCCATACCCTATATTACATTACACTTAGAAATGTTGATTGATATATCGTATATCTTCATGTACTTATGTGCATGTATAGCCAGATCAAAAGGTAAATAATGATAATAAATGATATAAATAAATAATGCCAAGTTTCTTTTCACAAAATTAGTACCAGTATGTATGTAAAAATCACTTCTAAGGGTATCATTTCTGCTGTTGTTCTTTGCTGAACATATACATAGCATCAAAACTCTTAACTAGTATTGTAGAAGTACCCCGACTTTAACCTACTTTGATGCCTAATATTTTACAGTGTACAGAGCAGTCTCATGCTTAGTAGCTCATATGATTCTTTAGTCCTATCGATGGCCTCAGTTTTTTGTAGAAATACATAGTGGCTCAGGACAGTCAAGTGACTTACCTAATTTTCATATAGATAATCAGTAGCACAGCCTAAACTGGACACCAGGGCCAGTATTCTCTTCATTTTATCTTTAAAGGTGTCATATTCTCCTTTAGTGGTGTTTGGATTGAACACAAGGCCTTGTGAGTGCTAAGCACACACTCTGCTCCAGAGCTATACCTTCAGTTCCAAGTGCATATTCTTATTGCAGACTCTTCTTTCTCTTTTCCCACTGTTATCCTAGAAGCTGATTCGGATACCTCCTTTATGACTTAGAATACTGCTAAACTTTTTTTTTTAATAGCTTTCCATTGTGTGTCTTTTTTAAAATACTACTAAACTTAATAAACTTTCCTCAGGGATGTTTGTTTTTAACAACCTCTTTCTCAGGACAGAAGTATTTTTAAAATAAAAAGTCAAGCTTCACTTTTACCTGATTGATTTCTGCTTTTAAGTTAACTAAGGTTTGTTTGATTCTAGGTTTGCTCATCTTATAAATGTGGAATTTTTTGATGATTTATTAGTAGTTCTTCATACTCTCATTGAATCTGGTGTAAGTAACTCTATTATTGTATTAATTACTTTTTAAAGATGTAAATGGTAATTATCATTCTTTTTCTTTTTTTATTATTTGTGGTACTGGGATTGAACCCAGGGCCGTATACATACTAGGCAAGCTCCTTACCAGTGAGGTTCATTCCCAGCCCTAATTATTATTCTTAATATCTTTTTTTTAAGGACCTAAGCTATCAAGAAAGTCTTCACTGTGTACAGACTGCTTTTCATATTCTTTCTGGGCAAGGTAAGATTTTTTCTTATCTTTGCTTTATCTTTACTTTATCTTTGGAGGCTATAACATACCTAATTTGTGTTTGTTATCATTTCAAAGGTGATGTTTTAAATATTGATCCGATGAAATTCTATACACATCTCTACAAAACACTGTTCAAATTGCATGCAGGTGTGTATGCTCATTTATTTTATTTTTATTGGTACATGTTTGCAGTCCATAATAGTTACATTCCTTGTGAGGAGTTGATGCATGTACACAACAGACCTTAATTTTTTTTATTCATCCCACTCTCCTCTCTCTGTGGTTTGTATGTTTAGACAATGTTTCCTTAACATATATTTATCTAAATATATAAACGTACATTTATCATAACATATGAATATGTTATGAACAGAATTATCATCCGTGAGAAATAAGAACTGGTACATAAAATGCTGGCCTGCCAGTGTCACACATCTGAGAGTGAACTTTTGGAAGTGGCAGGAAATGCAGTAAATACTGCCTATCACATCTCTTAGTGCTGCTTATTGGTCAGAGAAATGGCTTTGTACAGGTACAAAAGTTCATCTTTTTTTCTACAGTTTAGTGAAGTTGCATAATGAAAAAGCCCTGATGAATATATTGATTGTTTTAGGTGCCACTAATGAAGGTGTTGAGATTGTACTCCATTGTCTCGATGTCATGCTAACCAAGCGCAGAAAGCAAGTTTCTCAGCAGCGAGCCCTTGCCTTCATCAAGCGCCTTTGTACCCTTGCTCTTCAGGTTCTTCCACATTCAAGCATTGGAATTTTATCAACTACTAGAACATTAATGCATGTAAGTAGTAAATGAAGAGAGCTTAGTTCTTATTAAGTGCAGTGCTGTTTTGATTCTTGTTGTACTTCCCATCTTATTATCATTTCAGTTGTAAAAGTAATTCATTTTTGGGTGCAGTGGCACACACTTATAGTTCCATGTACTTGGGAGGCAAGGCAGGAGGACCATTTATTTTCACCTAGGAGTCTTGAGGCCAACCTGGGCAACATAATGAGAATCCAACTTGATTGATTTATTGCAGTACTGAGGGTTGAACTCAGGGCCTTCACACTGAACTGTATATCTAGCCCTTTTTATTTTTATCACTAAGTTGCTAAGTTGCCTAGGTTAGGCTCAAATTCATGATCCTCCTGTCTTAGCCTCCCCAGAGTGCTGGGTTCACAGGTGTGCACTACCATGCTTGGCTGAGAACCCAACTCTATAGAGATAAAACAAAGTAAGTTGTTATAGAATCAGGTGGTGAAGGAAGTACATAAAATTACAAAAGGAAGAGCATTTTAATTCCATTGACATTTCCCAAAGGTAACTATTGTTACCATTTAGTGGGTATCATTTCTGTAGATTTTTTTTTTTTTTTTTTGTGGTACCAGGGATCAAACTCAGGACGTTGTGCTTGTGAGGCAGGTGACAGATCTGTAGATTTTTTTTGTTCATATGTAAATATATGCAGCTTACAAGCAACAGAAGTTTAATTTTTGTGTCAATACTAATATTCCTATTTGTCTTTTAACGATGAAGGTTTAGTTCTTTAACAAACATACTGTTCTTAACTATTCCACTGTTATAAATGCTTCAACAAAAATTAATTTTTAATTAATTATGTTAAATTAATTGTTATAATTGAGACAGCTATTCTTACTGTTTCCATTTTATTGATGGAAAAACAGGTCCAGAGAGAGTAAGTTGCCTAAAGTGTTAATAAATAGTACGAGTGGGATTCAAATTTAGGTAGTTTGGGGTTTCTGCTTCTTTGTGGTTCTCTTGATAGATACAGGTGACCATTATTGTTGCTATTACAAATGATGTCAAAGTGAATATTTTATACGCTATCTGTTGTATTTCTATAAGAAAAAGAGTCCTGAAAATTGAGAGTGGAGAGTGGAAAGAATATTCTATTTTCTTTTGCAAAACAAAACACAACATTCTTTGTAATTTTTGTCTCTTATGATATAAACTTATTAAAGCTAAATAGACCATATATTTATAGCTCATATACAGCCATAAATTTAAATGAAGTCCAAGTATAGACCAATAAAGTTCTGTCAGTTAACAGTATTAATTTAATTCTTTTTTGTGACATTTTCACAGACTTTCCCGAAAACAGATCTGTTGCTTGACAATGACTCTCAGGGAAATGGGGTTTTCCTGCCTGAACTGGATGAACCTGAGTACTGCAATGCTCAGAGCACTGCCCTGTGGGAACTGCACGCACTGCAGGTGAGAGGGGCCTTTTCTACAAAATACTGCTACCATAGTAATATATTTTGTTTTGAAGATGCCTTTTTGAGAATTCTTTTTTTTTTTGGTACCGGGGATCGAACTCGGACCTTGTGTTTGCGAGGTAGGCGGTGGCACCACTGAGCTAAATCCTGGCCCCTTAGAATTCTTATTTTAATACTTCTATATTTGCCTTGTTCTTACTATTCTATTCTTTAAGCTGTTAAAGACATTTTCTTTTTTTAAATTCTTTTATTGGTACATTTTAGGTATATAGTACATTTACATTTATCATTGTTTGTACCTATACATGATATATCTTGGTTCTTATTTTTTTCCCCATTACCTGTGCACCCTTCACCCCCTCCACCCTTCCCTATTTACCTAGATTTCGTTTCCATTTTTTTTTTAAGACATTTTCTAAGGCAGCAAAAAGTGGTGAGTTTTGTGGGTTCCAATTATGGAAGAGTTATTGAAATACTTCCGTAACACTATTTAGAGCATAAGAAAATTTGCTATCACGTACATCTGTATTGGACCCTTTCCAAGGAGACTTCAGTAGGTGGTTTTGCCCATGTTCTACAGTGTCCATGATCCTGCAGTATGGATAGCAATGGAATGAGCCTTATGCAAAATAGGAATGTTGGATAACCTGTTGTAAACTAACTTCTCACTCAGAAAGATTGCTTTTTGAGTTTCCTTTTTCATACTGTAAAAGCAAGACTATGTAACTGGTAATTTGATCATCAATAATAAATATTTTAATTCTTTAAACAAAGATAATATTCAAGTATTGACCTGTGCAAAACATGGTTGTCTTGTTTCCTCTTCAGAGACATTATCATCCCATAGTGCAAAGATTTGCAGCTCATCTGATTGCTGGAGCACCTTCTGAAGGTTCTGAAGCACTCAAACCAGAGTTGAGCCGAAGGTATTATGTAGCATTTCTTTCTTTAGGGGTGTGTGTGTGTGTGTGTTCATGTATGTATGTATGTATGTATATATGTTTGTGGTGCAGCACTGTGGGAGGCTGAGGCAGGGGGATCACAAGTTTGAGCCCAGCGTTGGCAATTTAGGGACTTAGTGAGACCTTGTCTCAAAATTAAAAACAGGTTGGGGATGTAGGTGATGTGATGGGGATGTGAAGGCCCTGAATTCAATCCCCAGTACCATACATGAATATACAACATGGGATGGGTGGGTGGGTGGAAGCTAGACAATGTAGTGCACACCTGTTAACCTGGCACTCTGGGAAGCTGAGGTAGGAGAATTTAAATTCAAGCCCAGCCTGGGTAAGTTAATGAGACCTTGTTTCAAAATAATACATAAAAAAAAAAGGCAGGGAATATATCTAGTGCAAAGGCCTTGGGTTCAATCCCCACTACTGCAAAACAAAACTACACCCACCCCCCTCATCTCTTTGGTACTGTCACATTGGCCGTTAAGTTTTAGTTCCTGAATTTTGGAGAGGACACATTCAAACCATTGTATCTTGAGAAGTTCCCAAACTCAGAATTAATATTTTGCTGTTTGCTGTGGATTTTTCTCTCTTGTGAGCAGTCTGCTGTTTTCTTTAATTCAGGGATCAGCATTGACCTATGGGCCACACTGATTTTTCTGCCCTTTTTGGAGTCTGAGTAAAAACTGAATTAGTTGCTATCTTTTAAATATTGGAAGAATCACTTAAAATTCATATTTCCAGCTTCTCTTGAAATACTAAATTTGGTGACTGGCCTGTGTTTTTACATGGCAATATAGTTAATTGCTTCTCCCTCTGAGTGAGATTGAACTGTGAAGTTTTCCAAAAACCTTTCCTTCTGGATAGGATAGAGATAACTTTATTTGTGTGTATTTAATGTAATAAAATGGCCATTTATCTTTTCCTTCCCTCATTACTAGCCCCCCCCCCCCCCGTTTCTTAAAAGGAAAAAAAGAGAAAATTCCTTGTCATTTTTCTTTCTAGTGATTATCTTCTGGCATACTTTCATTAGTGGTCCTAAACATTTACTTATTTTGTGCCTGTTTTCCTTTTCAAGAGGAATATGAGGAATGGTTTATTCCAAAGGCTTGGGAAGAGAGATACATAGCGTTCTTTTCCTTAAAACTAGAGAGTGGGGTGTGAGTCTAATCACAGTTGTTGGCAGTCCCTTGCCTGTCTCCTTTGGAGAATATCAGCTAACGCCAAGTCAATAAGGATTCACTTACATGCCATGGATATACACATATTTTTTGTCCTAAATTCCCTCTCGTGTTCCCCCCAAACCAGCAGCTAAAGGGTTGAGCAGTGTTTGAAGTCCATGGAAGATAACTCCATGCTTCAGTTCTCTGTCTGCACAAAGTTGGTTACCATTTACATACTGTACTGTGGTTGAGTTGGGATTTGATCACACTAAGCTAGAAGCTGGGCCGGGAATTTAGCTCAGTGGTTCCAGCGCCTGCCTCACAAGTGCAAGGTCCAGAGTTCGATCCCCTGTACCAAAAAAAAAAAATGCTAGAAGCCTTCTGCTTAGCTTTCTGTCCAGGCTCCAGGCCTGCATGTTTACCTGTCTACCAAATTTCTCTAAGATGGATTTAATAGGATAATATTGACATTACATGGGAATTTAAGATTTAAGTGGGTTCATTTGTTGCTTTCATTCTTTGAGTACAATCTATCCCCCCCCCCTTTCTCTCTCTGTGGTATCTGTACATTTCTTATATTTGTGATTATAGATCCGCAGTTGAACTTTTTGAGACTTACAGCATGGCAGCAATGATATTCAATCCTCCTGTTGAATTTTCAAACTCCAAAAAGAAGGTATGTATATTTTTCTTTTTTTAAAAGAAAAATAAAACTAAATAATGTTTCTCTTAATGACTTTAATATTAGCTTACTTACTTGTTTTATAGATAGCTATTTTTCATGTTTAAGAATTGATAATTAGGGGCTGGGGATTTAGCTCAGTGGCGCCACGCCTGCCTTGCAAGGTCCTGAGTTCGATCCCTGGTACCAAAAAAAAAAAAAAGAAAAAGAATTGATAATTAGGATATATGTTTGGGGTTGGAATTCAATAGAGATGGTTAGTGAGACTGTTTCAGTCAGTATCTAACACCTGACCAAGCATTTCATTATTGTATTTCACTTGCTGGTGTTAGTTAGTGCTTTTTATAGCTTTGCTCATAGCTTGGCTTTTACTTACAGATAGTATAAGTAACTTGAACTCATATTTTAAAAATCTTTTTCTAGGATAAATTTTTACAAGGGGAGTCCTTTCTAAATGAAGATTTAAATCAACTAATCAAAAAACATTGCAATGAAGTTGCTACTCAGTCATCCCTGGATTTCACCAAATATTTAAAAACGTCACTACAGTAGTACAAAAACGAAGAACAGTGGTCTTTTTTGTATATTTGTGTGTATGTACAGATACGTATAAAGACATGTTGTTAACTTAGGACTTTTTATACAAGGAAAACATCCTAAGAACGATTTGGAAGAGGAAGAGTCATCCTTTTTGTGGCATGGGGCTCTACCCCAGTTTTGAAAGTGTCATTTCTTTAAGAAAGGAGAATTGAAAGCCTTTTTTTTCCTTCCCAAATGTTTTGGAAGTTTCCTTCTTAACGAACTGTTAAGTTACAGTTTTTCTTTTTTGTTATATGAGAATTAAACCTAGGGAGTGCTGAGCTAAATCTGCAGTTCTTTTAATTTTTAAATTTTGAGACAGTCTCACTAAGTTCTCCAGATTGGCCTTGAACTTGAAATCTTCCTGCTACACAGCCTTCTGAGTAACTGGGATTACAGGTATTTACCACCATGCCCAGCTTAAGTTATAATAAAAAAAAAGTTTTGGATTTTATGTGTGAATGGTACTGGAGATTGAGGCCAGGGTCTCCTGCATGCATGCTGGGTACCCACTCTACCACTGAGCTCAGTTATCAGATCCAAAAGGGCATAGAGCATGGAGAAATTAAGATTGAGAAAGCTTTTTGCATTGAGCTATTCCTATAGCTAAATATTCTTTAAATAAACACTATTTTTATTGCAATACCATAGAAATGAGAAACATTCTAAATTTGAGTGAATATAAATTTTATGAAGGTTTTGGAGAAAAAAATTGCTTGAATTTAGACACATGTTCACTTGCTCATATTGAATGATATACCTCAAGAAATAACCTTGACTTGGTCTTTTTTTTTAAAAAAACAAATGTTTGTTGTGGCTACTTTCAAACAAAATTTGGATATGATTTTAGTATCTTTGAAATTGTGTGCATTTTGTTACATGCCCTGGAGGGTGATGGGGGAAAGAATTTTTCCTGGGAGGAAAAAAATAAGTCTGAGACTACCATTCTGTTTTTTAATTTTTAATTTTTAATTTATTTTTATTTTTTATTAAATTCTTTTATTGGTACATTGTAGGTATACAACACAATTACATCTCATTGGGAATTGTACCTTTACATAATG